GACCGGCGGCGGGACCGGCCCCTCGGCGCTGCTCGGGACATGGCGGCGCGGCGGGGAACTCGGTCCCGGTGCCGCACTCCCCCTGGTACGGCCCGGAGCAGGGCGCGGCTGGGGCAGCGAGCGGCCGGGCCGGGCCAGGCCGAGCCTGAGGCCTCGAAGGGGCCGCGTTTGAAGAGGCCGGGACCAGCCCCTTCCCCAGCCAGTGACCTCCTGTCATTATTGTGATATTTGTTATTTTAAAGGAGCAAGTCCCAGCGGGAGGGGCGCGCAGGTTAAGGGGGAGCAGCCTCTGGTGGAATCCCCTCAGCTTGGCCCGCAGGGGCCGGCGGAGCTGCCCCGCGCCCGGCTCTATCCGGGGTTGGTATTGCAGAGCTCTTCCGACCCCGAACAGCTCCTGGAACCCAGTGCTTTGTTATCCGAGCCCTGCTGGGTGAGCGCAGGTTATCTGTGTGCTCGCAGCTGGAGCTGGACACTTCCCAGGAATGTGGTGTTCCACCTGCAGGCATCTGTATTTGTTTGCATTTACCCTACCCGTTGTCTCTCATCTAGGATAAAGTTCGAGACAGTTTACTCCTATTTTACCCACTTTGGTTTTTGGAGGTTCTCAGATGATGATTTTTTTCCAGTTACAAGAGATGTTGAATTTAATTGTTCTGTGCAGCCTTAAAGAGAAGTAACCCCAAAACATAGTTCATCTGGAAATCATTAACTATCCTGACAGAAATATGGTGCTTCCTTGGGAGACTGAGAAAGTCTCTTCATCTGTTTTTTAGGCAGGAAGGAAAAGACTTTGGAACAGCCCTGTTCAACTATTGCAGAAGAGCCCGAGCCTGAGCCTGTTCCATATGTTCTGCAAGGAGAGGACATCCAGGCACTTGAAATTAAGGTGGAGGACCTGGAGAAAGTATGTATGAGTATTTTTACTTCTAGAAATAGCTGCCTTAACTGACACTCTCCTTTTGTGTGTTTAACAGAGGGTGCTGCCCATTTACTAAAGCCAAAACTCACTCCTGCAGCTGAGTTCTCATGCCATTTTGTCTAGGGCTTTTTATCATGATAAAATGTCAGCTCATCAGGTTCAGTTGCTAAAAGTAAAGCATTACAGGTGCCTGTGCAGTCCTTTCAAATGGAAGGATAAGTCATCTGCCTCTTCAAAATTACATCTTTAGCTTTCTGATCTAATGAGATGTGTAAGTTGTTTAGTAGCTCTGTTGGCTTTCCTTCCAAAAAGCAGGTCACAGTGTGTGAGTGGAAGCATTTGAGTGTCACAGCAGCAGAAATCTCTTCTAGAAAGTGATTTAAAACTCTCCTTTCACGCCCCTGTTATATACCAAGATCCAGAGGAGTAAGACAGTAACTGAGTTGGTATCTGCACAGCTGTGTCGCTGTGCTGTCTGCACAAAGTGTCCTGTAGGGGAAGAATCACAGAAGATTTGGCTTAGAAAGGACCATAAAACTCATCTGTCTCCACCCTCCCCCCGTTGCCATGGCAGGGACACCTTCCGCTATTCTTGGTTGTTCTGATCCCCATCCAGCCTGCCCTTGGACACTTCCAGGGATGGGGCAGCCACAGCTTCTCTGGGCACTCTGTGCCAGGGCCTCACTACCCTCAGAGCGAAGAGTTTTTCCTAATAGATAGTCTAAATCTACTCTTCTACTTTGAATCCATTCCTTCCTCGTCCTGTTGTTACATGTCCATGTGAAAAGTCCCTATCCAGGACTCAAAGGACCCTGCCAGGAACTGATATGACTACTGTGCATATCCTAAAAGTATCAGATGGAATAAAGGTGAGTCACTGTGTACCTAACTGCACTGTGACTGTTTATTTCCTGAAGCTTCATGCTCCACGCCTTCCCCATGATGCTGGGAGAATTCCAGTTCAGAAGAATTACCTTGTCCGCAAATACCGACCCAAGGAGGTGGCACATCTCGTAGCACATCCTGTTCACCCCAAGGCACCCAGGGGACCACTGACTTTTCCTGGTAGGGTTCAACTTCACATCTTACTTCTGGGTTTTGTTTTTGCTAAGCCAAACTTTAGTGACCTGGCTCTGGGGTTGGGTATTTTTATATGTATGTTGTAGGACCAAGACAGTTTGATGATGGCTGTGAAGAGATCCTCCCTCATCACATTTTGGGAAGTCTCCAGGAGTTAAAGATGGAGGCCTTGGCCAGAAGAAACACTCAGGTTGGTTTGCAGAGTTAGGAAAATGC